TTTTTTTCTTTTTTCCTCTTAAATTATTATTGGGTTTTTTTTTAGTCTTCAGGGCACTGAACCACAGCTGAATCTGCCTGCAGTTCACGGGGCTTTAGCAGAAGAGGTTTGATACATTGACAGCCTACTCGGGAGCGCTCAGGGGTGAGCTGTGGTGAGCTCACCGAAAGGTATCGGCGGCACCGTTGCCACCCCTCCCTTCCTCCAGTTTGCTACCAGTGCACTCCCAGCAGGTGCAACACAGCTGCTCCCCTGCAGAGCCCAGGAACTGAAATTGTTCCTAGAACACTGAAAGTAAAAGCATTTCTCATTTTTGAGGTTTTGGTTGTTGGACCGGGTTTGTTGGGGAGGAGGGCTTTACAGCTTTGATACAGAAACCACAAGGATTTTTTCTTCACACAGACCTGCCCACGTGCTGCAAGCCGTGAGAACAGATTCGAGGGAAGAAACAGTCTGAACTCAACAGCAATCAAGAAGAGCCAGACTTTTCTAGCTGGGGTAGCTTAAAAAGCTGTAACAAGTGTTTTATTCTTCTCTAGTTAAAGGCCTAAAATCAAACACTACCTGCTTCCTGTGGTTTTTGCCCCTACCCTTTCCCTCCTGCCCGTTAGCAGTTCGGTGTGCACAGCCTGCAAACGCCAGTAAAAACCAAAGTCACTATAGTTTGGTTTGTTTGCTCTTAAGAGGCTGAACTTCCCTAGTTTGCTACAGGAGCACAGTTACCCTGCTGCGCTTCAAAAGCTGAAGTCAAAACTCAGCGGAAGCACAGCTTCTAAACAGTGAATGGCATTCCCAGAAAACATCCACCCACCGACAGCGTTTGTAACACGGCTGCCATCCCACGATGGCCAACCTGAGATGGCTCCTCTTTTGCCAAATTAAAACAAGGAGGAAAAGAAATTTTACTTTTGAGCTTGTCTCGTGGCTTTCCCTTCCACCTGCTCAGACACTTCTGTTGTGTGCTCCTTCTCCCCAGTGCCAGCTCTCTTCTTCCATGGAGGCCAAGAAAGAAAATGACACTTTAACAGCAGAAAGGACTGATGGAAGCTGTTGCTTCTCATCCTATTTAACTTCTTTAAAAGCAAATCTCACCTTTTAGTATGTCTGACGCACCTGAGTTAAGGTTTTCAAGGTGTTTTTTTTTATTTTGTTGGGGTTTTTTTCCCACCCCCTCCTTTCCATTCCTCCTTCTGACCTGGCAGGGAAGACACCCAACAGGTCAGCACAGTGCTGCTAGCAAGAGAGACCTGTGGGTGTGTTCCACCTGGGTGCAGCACCCCAGCCCTACCATACAACCTGGGAGGGCAGGGTGCTCTCTCTATGCCCTCGATCACGTCATTCTACTGGAAAGCCCCAAACTCAGGGTACTGGCAAGGTACTTGCCTAGGCAGTGAATGCGTAAAAATGCATTGAATAATTACTACTGGAGCAGGAGTTGCCACTTAGAATCCCAGTTCAGCACAGCAAGAAAAGCACTACTGGGGAGGGGGGAATAATTTAAATTACCAAACAAATAACTACTGTTTTCTTCTATAAATCCCACAGAGTATTCCTCGCTATTGAACTAGGTTCAAGAACATAAGAAAGAAAATTCAGGTGTGTGCATACCATGTCAGTAAACTTCTCCTGTGGAGTTGGCCTTATGGAGGAAACGGTATCTGTGCTGCCTTTACACCTTCCTGGTAATAAACAGCTGACACAAACCAAGTTGTCCTCTTTCTTTCTCTCTGTCTGCCCATTTGTCACACTACTAAAGCATCCCTACTGTGGCTTCAATGCCCAGCGTGGAGCTACGGATTTACTCGCAAGAGGACATGTACAGTACCCTGGCATGTGCCAGCCCATTCAGCTCTCTGTGCGCTCTCGCCTGTCTCGTGGAGCCCCTCATTGCTGCTTCCTGCCTCCTTACAACATCTACATGCACCCTCACTCACTCTCCTTCAGGTCTGTAGCCCCCAGTTCTGACAGGTGAATTGGAACAGAACATTGCTTTCCGGGGTCTGTTCTGGTGTCCAAAGCAACGTGGGAGGCTGTTCACAACGGGAGGATTGCTCTCCCTGCCGTCACACTGAGTTCACTTAGTAAAGTACGTTTGGTTAGTAGAGTTCATCACCGCTTGGCCCGCTAGAAGAGCTCAGCACAAGCATCGCCTATCTGATTTCACCACTTCTTCTGAAGAGTGCACTACGTTTGGGACAAACCCGCTCTTTACCCCTTCCCATCCCTCCTGGATTGAAATTTCCCCCCTTTTAACAAGCTCGTATATATCTCGAGTCAGATCCGTGAAGGCCTTCTCCACGTTAATGGCGTCCCGAGCTGAGGTCTCAATGTACTTCATACCATACGCAGCGGCCAGTTTCTCAGCCTCATGCCTGCTGACTTGCCGCTGCGTGTCAAGGTCACACTTGTGACCTACCAAAACAAAGACGATCTGGTACGGCTGGACGTGCACCTTGGTCTCCTCCAGCCACTCGTGGACGTTCTGGAAGGACCTGCGGTTTGTAATGTCAAAGAGGAGGAGTCCGCCAACCGAGTTCCTGTAGTAGGCTCTGGTGATGGACCTGGAAACGAATGAGCCACAACAAAAGTATAAGTTACAGCTCTTTGGGAAGACGCGCAGAGCGAGTTTCATGTGGGGTTTTGTTTGTTTGTGTCTTCTGATTTTTTTTTGCTTAAGCCAAATGTAGCCCTTCTGAGTGTATGTCTTTGGTTAAGCAAGCAGCGTTGGCACCACCCTGTCCACCCTGCAGAGAAGGCCATTCAGGCAACGTCTTACCACTTTGTAGAGCTTGTCATTCAAAAAGACAACTAATCTTGGCTTAAAAATTTCGTCCTTGGGTAACTGCCCCACTAATTTATTATAGCCCTGTTCAAAATCCCCGCCACCGGTTTTGGTCTCTGTTTTCTACCATGGATTTCTGTATGCCCCATGCTGTTGTCTAACCCACTGGTTTAGAAGCACTGTGACAAATTAAAGGATCCATTTGAAACCAAACACCCACTCTCTGACAGACACATAAAAGAAGAAGGCTACAGATTCAGAAGACAGAGCACGAGGTCGTAGCTCCCCTCCATACACCCAGGGCCTTTGCATGGGGACATCCACCGACCCCTGTGTTCTCTCCCCTACACTACTGGTCAAAACGACGGCACCGTGACAGCTAACGCACTGACAGGAGTGGCCAGTCCGACCCCCCCGAGGAACAGCAAAACGATACAACAGGTTCCCTGGGGAATCGGCACTACTACTGGCCTTGTTCCTGCCAAACACTGACAGCACTGAACAGTCACCAAGAAGACCATGAGCCGCGGCTTCCACAACTCTTCCGAAGGGCAGACTTCAGCGCAGCCAGAAGCAGCACAGGAACTCAGCTAACGGAGCGTGATGGAGTGAAGCTGACGCCACGGGGCTGAGCAGAGCTACAGTTCAACGACTACTACACGTGGAAAAACCAAGAAGCTGTAAAACCCTGGTGCTTCTGCAAAGTCATGGATTTGTTCTAAATTCAGAAGCAATAATCGATTTCAGTCCCTGGAGGAATTCACATTTGGACCTGAACTTCCCTTGCCGGGAAAACATAAGCACTGCTGCATTTTTACCCTGGGACCAGTCCTTTTTTCGACATGCCAGACTGTTGTTAGGATTATTTGGTCCTGTAGTGCGTGTACCTAGCGAAACTGTCCCAAGAAAGGACGAACTGGAGTTTTCAAGGATTGCTTTCTCAATAGACATTCAGTGATGGGTGAAAATCCACAGCCAAAACTGAAGAATGCCAGAAGAGGGGTAAAAAAAGAGTTGGCTGCTTTTGGATAATTCCTCCTCTCCCAATTATCTGGCCGAGGGACAACAGTAGCTCTGCACATTTGGCACTGAGGGAATTAGATCATCTGCCTTTTGCTATCAAGCCAGCTGCAAACAGATATTGGCGCTTTGGATTCACCCCCAAGCTGTCACAGGCATTTCTGCTTCTCCCTTGTGTTCGGTGCTTCAGCCCTGGCTCCTCCTGCCAACATCAACACTGCCCCAGGTACCCGTGAAAGACGTGACAGGATCTAAGCTGAACGCTGCTTTGAGGGAAAACTAGGTGAAGGTCTCGGTGCGTTTTCCTAAAGCCTTTTCCACAGATTGTTTTCCTTACCGACCCGCAGGATGCAAACCGTATTGCCTTCACGCTCTACACAGCTCCCCAGTTCCCTTCCAAGACTCCTCCCGCCATGCTCATGCAGAGCAGTACGGGGATTTGCATCTATTTTGGCCAAGTTTCAACATAAAGATACTGCCTCTGGTTGGGAACTCTCCCCTGCTCTCTACTCGCGTACTCGGGGACTCTCGTACCCAGGGCCCACGGCTGTTTGTCCGAAGCAGAGCCATTGGCTGGAAGGAAACAGCTCTTCTGTAGGTGGTGGTACATGGTTCCAGGGAGCGAGGGCTGCACGTGCTTTTGCTTTTGTTAGCATTACACAACAGCGCGTTTCAGATAAGGAAATCACAGCATTTGAGCAATCCAGAGATGGGCAAAACCTGCTGGGTCCAGGAAGAATCGGACCCTGCTCTTCCACATCACCAAAGCAGCCTCAGCGCTGCCCCAGGCAGCACGTTTTGGGGCTGGATCTGGCAAAATAGAACGGGACATGCTTAATTGTAATTTAAGCCTTGACTGCATGGAAATTGCTTCTAATTTATGGTGAGCGAAAGAGCTCACAGCGGGGATCAGGAAGAGCAGAAATGCAGCACAGCTGCAGACCAGAGAATGCCAATAAGGTGTCTTCAGAATAACTACGGTGGGTTGTTCCTTGTGGGGCAGCGTTAAACTACTCCAAGCAGACTGGAAATGCCCAAATCGGAGAACTCTGTGAAAAAGCAGAGCTCATTCTTATTAATTTCCTTTGTAAGAAATTCCCTGTGCTATGACAAAAAAAAGTTGAAGGGTTCTGGAGAGCATCTGCACCGTCGCACTTCTTGCCTATGCCCACAAGTCTGAAAGGCTTCAGCTTATTCCAGTAATAGCTACATCTTGCCTTTCGCTGAGAAAAATAGCTTGCACGAGGAGCCCAAGAGCTGCTGTCTGTACAGGGCACGATTCGGCACAGGGCTAACGGTGATTTGAAAGGGACAAACACAAAACAGACTTTTTGCCTGATTTTTTCATACTCCAGAGTGCACCATAAAGGCACCTGGGTTTGCTCACTTCCGTCTACCTTTTCACATCGGGAATTCAAGCCTGCGCTTTGGCAAGGGCATTTCAAAATTGCACAACGTGGTTTTTTTTTAAGGGGCTGCTCCTGCCCCTTAGACTCTCCCTGCCTTCAAACACAGCTGCCCATTGCAGCAGCTCAGCCTGCCCTTGCGCTGAAGGTCGCCTGCCCATCACGTTTACAACCCGAGCGCCGGGCCAGGTCAGCCACCAGCACTAAGGGTACACAGCCTCCAGGGCCCCGAGCTTCCCAGCGCATGAACGAGAGGAGACCAAAGCCAACCAACAGCTTCTGCTCTTCACAGCAAAGGCAGAAGCAGGGGACGGCACCCAGCCGTGTTTCCTACAGACCTCAGCCCCAGAGCCAAAGCTGGAAGCTGATGCAACTGCAAGTGAAAGCACCTCCTCTCTCAGCAGAATTAAGCAGCAGCTCCTCACCCTGAAAGGCTGCGAGGTAGCAAAAGAAAACCTGTCAGCGGGTAAGGGCCGACTACTGCCCGTCCTGGGCCAGATGCCAGCGCCACAGATGTGACGGAAGGCGGTGAGCGGGGTGGGAGCAGGGGAGGTTCCATCTATTGAATGAAACCAAAACATTCCTCCAGCGAGCCATGACAGCACAGCAGCTATGTGGAGCTGCGCAGAGACATGGAGCAAGGAGCAAGATGAAAGAGCAGACAAGGGGCAAAGCCGCATGGAAAATACAAGCGGCCAGGAGGCTGGGAGCTGAGGGTACGCTCACATCCCTGCCAAACGAGCACCGTCCGAGCAGCACGCGTGCCATGACAGCACCATCCCCCTGCTTCGCCGGGGCCCAGCCCGCTCCAACCACAGCTGCTGTTTCCACCAGGCAGTTCGGTGGGGAACTCTCAGCACCATCCCACGCGCTGCCTTCGGTTTGTTCCTCATCGAGCGTTGGTCACTGCTGGTTAACCTCCCCGCAGCGTGCCGGTGCAGTGCTTGGCGTGGCGCCCCGCAGATGGCCCCGGCCTTGCTCCGTCCTGCGGCCAGCTGAGCTCCGCTGCGGAGGACGGGACCGCATCTTCCACGGCCTCCAGCCG